TGCTAAGCCTAACCACAGCTGGTCTACCTGGGCAGCGCCATTTTCCCTCGAGCGAACGCGATCCCCAAAACACCTTCCCTTTCCTTTACCACGAGTCACCCAACCGGTCCCTGCCCTTCGACTTTCCTCAACAACACGCAGCGGCTCTCCACCCTCGCTGCCTGAACGCGATCCTCTACCTGCCTCGCTTTCCCAATCTCAACGTACGTTCTCGCAATCGGCCGGCCTGGAATCACGGTAGTCCGAATTTATATAACTTAATTACCCCTGAACCCCTGAATTCCCTGACTCGCTGAGAACCTCGTAAGTGCACCTATCGTCACAGTATTTTAATTAAAAAGACGCGCTAAGATAGCGCTATTACCTTCCTTTTATTAGTTCTTTATCGTAAAAGACGCAGCTTAACTCATAAGTAAGAGCTCGTTCTTCTAAGAAAGCGGTAAAACCAGTAGAACTAAAAGTATACTCAATTCAGGCTATCGGGGCTTATAACTTATTACTAGGATATTCACGATTAGACCAGGAAGTATTAAGGTGCTAGGTTATTAATTGATTTATGATATTAATTATAATATTAGTGATATCTATAGATACGCTCTCTAATGACTAATAGTCTGACTTGCGTGGCAGAGTTTGCATCCGACTCTGTCCACATGACTAACCCGTGACTTAAACTAGCATAAACCTGCAATAAAAATGCATCGACTTTTGCTAACAACTTTGGCAGCTCTCTTGACGTGCGCATTTCTATGTATTAACTTCCTCTATGAAGAAATAAAACTAAGAGAAGATGATATTGTCAAATTTCCAGCCATTGATTTTGCCGCTACAGACTCAGAGTCCTCTGGTGACAATCATGCGAAATGCAAATCTTTCCCGGAAGCTGGACTGGCCCTTCGATGCTGAACGGACAAAGCTTAACGAGTCACTTGATAGGTCATTATTGAAACCAGTGTTTGCAGCTGCGGCATGGTATGCAGGCACTCGTTTCGACGCAACAAGATGCAATTTTGCCATCAGTCCTCTAGGAAATACCCGTTTATTCGTTGACGGCGCTGCCACGACTCTTACGGAATGACCTGGTGGCGATACCTGTGAAGCGAGCCGCAATACTCAAGGTAATTGTACACAAGGATGATTCCCAACGTATGTCATGAATGTTACGACGGTCAAGCACGTTCAAGCTAGAGTCGCGTTCGCAAGGAAGAGGAACGTGAGGATAATCATCAAGTAAGTCAGAACATTTTCTTCGACGGTTGAAATCTGTTTGATATTGTTCGGAAAACCCGGTTATGATGTTGTTATCCCAACGGACAGAACGGGAAACTGTATCTGACGGAGAATTGACGGAATTAAGAAGACGTAAAATGTATAACAATATAGTCTCGTGTAATTGGAGAACAAAACAACATACTTTTCTCTGCTCGAAGATCTGAACCTGGAAATCCAAGTAAGATGGACCCCGAAACAAACGTGGTGTCTTCAAGGCGCGGCTGTGCAGGACAGGTCTTTCTATCTGAGAGCAATCCTCGGTCTCCTCTATCTCCGCAGCTCGGTCTAACGAAGCGGGATAGCAGACGTTTGAGAGTATGCTAAAAACTTTGCGACTTTGATGTTGAAGACTCATCGATAATCAACTCGCGGGAAAGAAGATAGCCAAGTTAGGACTTGGAACACCACTAATGCTGCGACATTTCCAGTAGCTGCAGGCGGAGACCATCATGATTTGAAGGGTAGGAAGTCCAGCAGAATGAGATATAATCATGGAAAGGGGGATTCCAATGATTACACTGAGCTAGTGAAGTCTTCCCGAAGAAAACAGGGATTACTGAACCATTTTCTAGCGTTGGAGGCACTTAATAATACCAGCCAACGACCGGGTGCATTTCTGATGACCCCGCTTCGTGAACAAAGCCTCGAGTACAAGCCTTCTTGAATTATTGCTGATACGATTTATTTCTAGATTACTGATATGAGGGACACGTATCCCTGAATGACGTACTCAAAGTACCTGATGACATACCTTGCACCAAAGCAGCCCCAACCCCAGCAGCGAGGTATATATTGAGCGCAAGATCGTTCTGCAATTTTTCTTTTTTAATTTATCTTGTAAGCGATCATTCAAGATCTCATAAGTTTTAAATTCATCCCCTCGTCAAAATGCAAAACGCACTTTTTGTCAAGGAAGTTGGAAAGCCGGTCAAAGCTGGTACTCGCGCGATTCCCACTCCAGGTCCCAATGAAGTCCTGATAAAAGTCACCGCCACTCAACGTAGCTGTCTCCCCTTTATAATGAAAACAACATCACTTACGCAATATAGTTCTCCCTCATGACACATATGGGCGGGACTTCGGGCTGTTTATCAGTCAACATCTGCCGTTCGTGCTGGGGAGCAACATCGTTGGGATTGTCTCGAAACTCGGTCCAGATGTAACTCGATACGCTCTCGGGGACCACATCTACGGCCAAGGCGATCCAAAAGCTGTGGTACCCAACTCTTCAGGCCTCCAACAGTATGCGATTCTTCGACTAGATCTGTCAGCTTTGGTTCCAGCAGGATTCACGGATGATCAGATGGCCACCCTCCCAATCAACGCTGGGACGTCTTTCGCGGCTCTCTTCCATCCAGAATGGCTCAACTTTCCACCTCCGTTCTCTGCTAAAACTAAGACTTTTGATTACTCGAAAGAGAAACTCGTAATTTTAGGTGCAGGAACACAATGTGGTAAACTAGCAATTCAATTCGCCAAGATTGCTGGAATAGGGACAATCATTGCGGTTGCATCAATTGGTAGGGAAGCTGAGTTGAAAGATCTTGGTGCAACACATGTCATTGATCGACATTCAAATAACGTCGTTGCGGAAGTACAGAAAGCTTCAGGAGGGGCGGAGGGAATAACTCATGTGTACGACTGCGCGAGCTGGACCTACGAGTTAGTGGCAGACCTGGTGGCAACCGAGAAGCGAAGCCGGATCGCCATATTACATCACAGCAAAACTGTGCAAACCGATTTGAACAGCAGAGGCAAGAAATTGGCCATAGTAGCGACCGTTGTTGGGAGCCAAGCGAACTTCCACGGCGAAGAAAACAGGATGTACTGGGAGAGCCTGGGGTCGTGGGTGCAGGAAGGGAAAGTTAGAATTCCGGAGTACAGAACCATCGAAGGTTTGGATGAAGCTAGAGTGAACGAGGCATTGGACAGCTATCGAGATGGCAGACCTGTTGTTCAAGCAATTGTTCATCCTGACGGCGTGGTAGCGAAGTAAACATAGCTAGCGAGGACTAGGCGAGGACAGCATGCTTTACTCGAAGTCAATGCCAAATCGAACTTGACGCCACAAAACCAGATCTGAGATCAAGAAGAACATTTCTTTTAACTTTGCAGTTCCATCCTTAAAAGTGCGAGATCCTTTAGCCTCCAAAGGAAGGGGCGTACATCAGTGGCGAGGGACAGTCTCTACACCGACAATCTGGTCGACGGAAGCTACAAGATTCTGTTGTCGGACTGTCGTAAATCCGTCTTCAAGATTACCATAGACATCAAGCAAGAAATGAAGAGGTCTTACATATGTTTGGTAATCCGTGATATGGGAAGAGTTGTTGCGCCGCAAATAGCCTAGCGTGAACTTGCAGAACAGGGCTGTAAGCGAGCCGAGGCTGAGCCTGAAGGACCCTGACGAATCTTGACTCAGCGGTCCATAATCAGTAGTTCCAAGGCTGTAGTTTCTCATCCATAAGTCATGAAGTTTCCCTAGTACTTTAGAACATTCCTTTCCCTTCGTCACGCACTCCTATAAAATGTTCAATTGCTCTCAATGAAGGTTCTCCTGTTGTTCTTTTCTATCGCAATCGCATTCCTCTCGGTCGCATTCAAAGATTCAATCGCCACAACAATCGACTTCCTCAAGACCGGGTACGCGAACATTAACACAACCTCTTTCAAAGGCCTCCCACTTATTCCACCTCGCGCAATCTACGGAGCTCCCAAATCAGCAAATATGACGGTTACACGAGCGATCCGCAAGGCATTCCTTGCCATCGAGCAGTCAGAGGGCGCTGGAGCCCGCGTGCGTCGCTCGATCGGAACCCCTCAACTACGAAACTTCTCCCCCTTCCTTATGCTCGATCATTTCACCATCAAACCAGGAGCAGGCTTTCCAGACCACCCTCATCGGGGCCAGGAAACTATAACCTACTTACTGGAAGGCGCCGTGGACCATGAGGACTTCGCCGGAAACGCTGGTACAATCGAGGCCGGAGATCTACAATTCATGACGGCAGGAAAAGGGATAATGCACGCCGAAATGCCCAGACAGAATCCAGATGGCTCTGCAAACATCGGAATGCAGTTATGGGTTGATCTGCCGGAGAAGTTGAAGAAATGCGAGCCTCGATACCGCGATTTGAGAGCCTCAGAGATCCCGAACATCGACATCGATGACGGAAAGGTACATATCAAGGTCATATCGGGACAAAGCCACGGTGTGGACAGTGTGAAGGAGCTTGCATATACACCTGTCTGGATTATGGACATTGAAATTCAGCCCGGCGGAAAGATTACCCAGAGTTTGCCTGAAGGATGGAACGCTTTCGCCTATACCTTGAGCGGAAGTACATCCTTTGGAGTAGGCGCCGACAAGACCCTTGTGGGACAGTATCACAATGTCGTCTTTGAACAGAAAGGAGACCAAGTCTATGCTGAAGTTGACGAGGAAGCCAAGGAGAATGGCCGTTTCTGTAAGTCATCCAAGTTTCTCGCTTGCAATTTTTACCCCTCTATCCCAGCATAACCCCGCCAAAAGAAGCCCCAAAAAAAAGACAAGTTTTTAGCAAGTCCAAGGGGGTTGTTGACAACAGAATCATTGTCTTTGACAGGATCTCCAGACATGTTCTTTTCGCGGCTTGCGGCAAGCAAAACGACAGGTCAAATTCAAGTGAAGGATCTGTTGTTACCTAATACAAAACATCCAATCACTTCCAGAGCCAAAAAACACATTCTGCGTTCGCCGGGAATCGAACCCGGGGCCCATCGACTACTGCATCCGGCTTTCGCTCGAATGTTTGGCAACGATGGATTTTACCACTAAACCACAAACGCTTGGCATTCTGCATTCTTGGAATGCTGCTTTCAATGCTTGTGGTGGAATGTCTTATTTGGCTTCACATACAGAGCGGGTGCGGGAAGGTTGTGCGAAATGTTGACCAATGAATCTCGAAAATTCTACCCGAAGTCGGCCTGGGCAATAGTCAGCATGCGAGGCTAGGCCTGAAGCGAGTTGGTTTTGGTGGTAGTTTTGTGCACAGGACAACTCGCTTCACCGGTCACGAAATGGCTTAGCCTTGATACAGCACTTAGCTGGATCTGCATGACTCGGCAAACTTTCCTCTTCTTTTCTACGAATAACAATCTTTAATAGTACGATTACTGACAAGTGTTCGCTATAGTCCTCGTTGCTGGCCTTCCGCTAGATCAGAAGGTCGTGCAGTATGGTCCCTTCGTACTCAACACACAAGAGGAGGTCTACCAAGCCTTGATGGACTTTCAAACACACTCAAATGGATTCGAACGAGCGAAGGGTTGGCAGAGTGAAATCGGAAAGAGCATGGTATGAGTGGGAGGATCATGGTTTATTTGTGGGGTTTAGGCCGGTTACAAACAGTTGTGACCTCGTCAGCGGAAGATATGATTCCAGGAAGAGCGAGCATTGGCTCGGAGCTTGAAGTTTGCTGTTATTGATAGACCCGTTATGAATTGAACTTTATTGAATGACAGTCCGCGATTTCCCACCCGACTACTCCAAAATTATAGGTACTTATATTGGCTTTTAAACCATGATCCTCCGAGAGTGCAGAAAAATTTAGTCTATTTTCTCCCGTTCCACTTCATTCGTTCAATCCCAACTCTCTTTCCTTTCACCCTAGTTTTACCCTCATCCATCTCAACGGAACCAGGAACAGCACAATCAAAAGTAAAGCCACACTTCTCAAAAACTCTCCTACTCCCCCAATTATGATCCAGGTACGATCTTGTCAAGCGGTGGATGTTCATATACGGGACGCAAACTTTCTCTAAGACACATTCCAAGACAGCGGGCATAATACCACGACCATGGCATGGTGGAGAGAGATAAACTTACGACTATCAGTGGCTAACATGCTAGAAATGGAAACGCTTACATCCAATCCCCCATTCAATATTTGGATCTCCAGCCTCAAGCGCATCATTTGCATATCTCATCTTCTGTTTTTCATCTCGGCCAAATATCATGATAAACCCAGCCCTTCTGATGCTGATCTCCCCAAGGAAAGTCTCAGCCCCAGTCTTCTCACCAACTTCCCGAATGACCGGGAAAGGTATTCCCTTGCTCATCCACTTACTATTTTTCCATCCTTGCTGTTGTGCGTCTCTGTTTCTCTCATTGTCCATTGCCTTCCATTCTTCAATAGCCTCGTCCACGGCTTTCGAATGGATTGGAAACCATGAATCCCAATCTGCTTGTGTGTATGGAATTGGCAAGCCCACTAGATTCATGTAGGCAGACGGGTTGTTCTGAATTTCGGTTACGAAGGGGCCATCACTGTTTCGTGGGGAGGTGAGTATTAGATTTGCGTTCGGATGGGGGACTTGAAGGAGTCGTCAGCTAGTGTTCTCCATTCTTGTAACTCGGGGCTAGCACCGGAACAGGTTGAAATGCTTCTTCAATTTCCAAAGAACAAATGAGCAGCTTTGACATGTGCTGAACGGAAGCAGTGACTTTATCTGTATGGACAAATTGTTGAAGGAAAACTTCGAAATTGCGAATGTTGGTGCCTAGAGAAGGGCGGGGGGAGGATCTACCTCAGGCTCCAGGATAGGTTGAAGAGTGCAAGCAATTGCTGGCCGCTTTACAATAACTCTTGAAAGGTGAACACACTGTACTGTACTGTACATAAATTAATTATTGAGCAGATCAAGAGATACAATTCAGTAATACCACTCCGGAACAGCGGCCCGTCTATGCTCGATCAGATGAAGATTATACCTCTAGCACGGTTAAACGTCGGGCCATTCGGGTTAACATTCGGCGAAATTCAACAGGGCATGGGAAACAAGGCGAACTGAGGTGAATGTGAGGATCCAGTCGTCGGTCCTTGGGGACCCGTAGTATGCGAAATCCGAGTTTCCTCAGATCGATGCCCTTCAAATCATCCGAGTACGTTAAGTAATGATTGTTGTGATGGGCGGTGGTTTTCTCAACATTCCCACTAAGCGAGAAACTGCTGGTACCGGAGAAGGGGTTGTCATCAACCACTCACTGTACATTTCTGTGATCTTATCAACGTTAGTACTATCCGGGATTCCGCGAAACAAAAAATATTCATTTAAATATATCTCCCTACATAAGTATCTATCTCCAACTTCATGTGACGATTGCGCCGAATCCTCTTGACTACTTGGCGATTTGTTTATGGTCGACTTCAGAGTTTACTGGAGCTGGCATTCAACCCACATTGCATGCAATCACTTTCAAGTAACAGTTCCGACCCAAACGAATCTCCAAATTTGCTGATATACTTTCAGACTATCTTCGGCCAAAAGTCAACGTCAGCAGAGGGCGGGGTTGAGTGGCCAGTCCCACAACTAACGACAAGTTCTCGCGCGAGTCCGGAGAAAATGCGGGTATCTTAGATCCACAGTTCGACCAGCATCCCACTTTCTCCTAGGCCACGCCACTTGGGAACTTTATAAAGTCGTGCTGTTTCTGATATGCTAAAAGCCCTGTATTCGTACGTACTGTGAATTGAGACCGGTCTCAGAAGCACGTTGAGCAGGAACAAGACATTACCAAAAGTCATTGTTTCAAATTATTGTTTTGCACAACTTTTTAGTTTTTAATTTTCGCCTTCATCATGGCTCCAATTGCACTTTCTAGTCTTTCGTCCCCTGCTACAGAGGTTCCTCCAATCGTGGAGAAGTCGTAAGTCTTCTTTGACCCAGGCTTGTAACACAAAACTAACACACGCAAACCAGGTTCAAACCGCAAAACAGCACATGGCTTTCTGATTTGCAGAAGGATGGCTACGTGGTCGTTAGAAATGTCATACCACGCGAGCGAGCAATTGCTTACCAACAAAAAGCCTTCGACTGGATTAGTACTCTCCGCCCAGGTTTTGATGTCAACAATCCCGACACATGGATCAAGAAGAACCTTCCTTTCGTGAGCGAAATCCACACATTCTACACCTACGGCATTGCACATGAAAAGTTCATGTGGAATGCTCGTATGGAGCCGGGTGTCTTGAAGGTTTTCGAGGAGCTGTGGGGGACTTCGGAATTGCTGGCTAGCTTTGATGCTCTGAATGTAACTTTCCCGAATCGCAAGGATATCGCCAGGAGACCTGCATGGGAGCATATCGATCAGTCTCCCTTGAGACGAGGATTGCAGTGCGTGCAAGGTATCATCAGTCTATCACATGCTGGCCCGGAGGATGGTGGCTTGATGTGCTACCCAGGCTCACACTTGTTAAGCGATGAGTTCTTTGATACACAGACTGACAAGACGGCCTGGAGGAAGAACGACTTCTATGGTTTCACCAAGACCCAACTTGAATGGTTCACAGCAAAGGGTCTGAAGCCGTTGAAAGTGTGCGCCGAGCCGGGAGATTTGATTCTTTGGGATAGCAGGACAATCCATTATGGCGCTGAGCCGACCGAAGCGAGCAACACGATTCGTACCATTATTTATGCTGCATACACACCTGCGAAGTGGGCTACAAAGGAAGCACTGGAGGTCAAGGCTGATATCTTCAAGCACTTCCTTGGGACTACCCATTGGCCGCATGAGAACTTGGTGAAGAGAAACGCACAGAGTATGCTGGAGGATGGGACCAGGGACCCCAAGGATAGGGATGAGCCCTTTGAGTTGCCTAAGATGACGCCAGATTTATTGAAGCTGGCTGGTGCTAAGTCTTATTAGATGTCAATAGTGATTTGAAAATCAATATACATTTGTTGGGTTCATTCGAGAGAGAAGTAGGTTTTGACATTATCTGAATAGTATTCCCTGTTCTGATTTCCCCGGTTATGGCCTTCCTCCCACCAATCACGATGAACTCCCGAAAGGGAGGCAAACTTGTTCGAACAGTATGCAGTAGCTCTTGGGGAGTCTTGTAAAGGATGCCAGAAAATGCAGTGCATGCTAGCTTCGTCCGCTGAAATGTAGCGATGAGCTCTCACTACCACAAAATAAAGTGTTGCTTAATTTTTGCTTCTTAGCCAAATTTTTTACTCTTTGATGTTGGGAACAAAAACTCAGAGCTGCCACGTATGGAAATTTTCTCTCGAGTCAACTATCTAAACATTTGTGCCATGACGCATGTCCAGCACCTAGTACGGCTTCTTCCTCCCCAATTATTCTTTCCCTCATTAATCCCCGCACTCTTATCCTTGACCTCCACTTTGGCGCCTTTTTTCTGGCTCTTTCTCTTCTACTACGTCGCTTCCGCTTGAGGATGGTCTCCAAACTGAGCTGTTGTGCCAATCTGCACACCCAACTCCTGCACCCAAGCTGCCCACTCCAAGACTTTCCCTTCCCACTCTCCAAGGCTCATCTCTCCACTTCCAAACACTTTCTTTAGCATCAAAGCATGCATAGCAGCCTGTGATGTACCGGCCGTAGTATGCGTCCTGAGTCCCGCCAATGCATCACCCACCAACAATACCTTCCCACCCATGAACACCGCTTTAGTTGCAATATTGTCAGTAATAGCTTGGATGAATGGCTGTTCTACCTTTTGGAAGAGTTCCGCTACCGGGGGAGGAAGAATTGATGAGGCGATGAAATTTTGACGTGAGCGAATTTCTGGGCGGATCTGGCCGATTCCTAGGGAGAAAGTATGGACTTTTCCGGAGGTAGAAGTAAGGATTTCTAGAAGTTCGAGGGGAGTGTAGTTACTGTGCCAAGCGATGTTGAACAGACGCTCTCCTGCCTCAATGGATCCGTTCAGTCCCGGAATTTTGTATCTGCGTAGTTTCAGCTTGCTGCATCAAATGACAAGGGAGCGATGCTTACAAAACGACATGACCCCCTTTATAGAAGTAAAAGGTCGCCTTGTCTC